TCTTCATAAGCATTTTCTTATTGTTAAGCTGACAACATGGTAGCCAGCTGACTTTTACAGCATATTCAGGAGCAAACATGCTGATGAAAAACTAGTCAAAATTATCTCCCCCATATCCCCAAATACAACTTTTAACCACTTTTCTTTGAATAAATCCTAGATATTTAGATAATACTTTCGTAGTTTATTTTTAAATTATGTGTACATCTGTATGTGTATGACATGTATGCAGGTGCCCACAGAGATCAGAAGAGGGTGTCTGATCATCTCCTGGAACTGAAGTCATGGGCGGTTGTTAGCTACCATGTGGGTGCTGGGAACTGAACCTGGGTCCTTTGCAAGAGCAGCCGGTGCTCTAAACCACTGAGCCATCTCTCCAGCCCCCCACCTCTATTTGAGCATTTGCAAGTTAGTGTAAACTTAAGTTTACTATGCTGTCTGCCTGATCAAGTTCACTAAATGTGTTAAGTAAAATATTTGGACAAAAATATATAATTATTTTTCCTCCCCAATTCTCAAAAAATGTTTAGGATATTTTTATTTTTTGGTCTTTTTGAGACAGGGTCACCCTGTAGCCCCAGCTGGCCTGGAACTATGTAGACCAGACTGGCCTTGAACTCAGAGATTCACCTGCTTCTGCCTCCCAAGTGCTGGGATTAAAGGCGTGGGCCACCATGCCCAGCCTTATTTTTTATGTGTATGCATGTTATTGCCTGCATGTAGGTAAGTGCACCCATGTCGTGCAATGCCCAAGGACAGAAGAGGCCATGGGACCCTCTGGAACTGGAGTGAAACAGGGTTTTATGTTGCCCAGGCTAGTCTCAAACTTCCTGTTAGAGTGACCCTGAACTTGCCTCCACCTAGAGTGCACCACCACGCATGGTGCTGGGGAATCAGACCTGGGGCTTTGCATATGGTAGGCAAAAACTGACTTCAGCTACATTCCCATTCCTATGTATTTTAAGACTTAACTTATATAGAATTCCCCTAAATCTCCACGTCCATGTACTCTTAAAAGTCACCATAGTATTTCAGTTAGGAAACCATTTTTTAAAAATATATTTCTTTAAATGTGTACTGCCTGCATGTAGGTAGGTGTACCTGTGTTGTGCAATGCCTGCAGAGGTCAGAAGAGGCTGTTGACTGGACTGGAGTTAGGGACAGTTAGCTGCCATGTGGGTGCTGGGATTCGAACCTGGGTCTTCTGCAAGAACCAGTGATCTTAACTGCTGAGCCATCTCTCCAGCCCCAGAAACCATTACTTTTAACTACACTGTACTTTATTGGGCTCTTATCCCTCCCCACAATGTTAATGGTCTTCAGAAAGAAAAATTGTGTGCAACTATATGTATGCCTGGGTTGAGTGTCCAGAAAAGGGCACCAGATCACCTGGAATTGGAGTTATAGGTTGTGAACTGCCAGGTGAGTGCTGGGAGCCATACCTGGGTCCTCTGCAAGAGCAGTAAGTGTTCACGTTCAACAGCTCAGCCATTCAGGAGCACCCTTCTCCCCCAATGGCACATTGTATTTAGCTCTTGTATATACTTACTCTCTAACCTGTGAGGTCTTCTCAGTATTTCCAAGTCTTTCATGACCTTTGAAGACTAGTATGCACATACAGGTTTGTCTGATGTTTTTACTAAGGTGCATTTGTGGGTTCCTGAAAGAATGCCAGAGAAATGCCCTTCTTACCTGGTTAACTGTCTGCCAAGTTCCTCCACTGCACTTAAGCTAGAAGGTGGCCTCAGAAGATTAAGCTGTGCCCCCTGGAAGGCGGATTATTTACATAGACTTTTTCAGTAAGCAAGATCATCTTTTTTACAAGACAAAACCCAAACAAACTAGTCATTTTTTTAAAATGTAGAGAACCCAACAGACAGGTAAATATATCACATCATCTTTGTACTACGCTGTTAAGAGAAATGGCAAAACACTGGGTATTTGGGATCTTTTTTATTTTTATACACATGACAAGATTTTACACCAATAGTCAGTTAAATAGTACAAATTTACATTCATGAGGAATGTTAAAAAAAAAAATTTTCAACTAAAAAACCCACTTCTTCCTGTGACCCACAATTCCAACATTTTACAGTGCAGGGGAGAAGGTGGTTTTGGGAAAGCATCCAAAATAACTCTCAAAAAAAGAAAAAAAAAAAAAAGACTTAAAAATTTCACATTCCCTCTCCACACAGGATCCATGGTGAGAGTATAATTTACAACTCATCTTTTTCTGTTGTAGATTCCTGTGAAAACAGAAAAATCAGAAAACATTAGACTAGCAGGCAACCATAGCTTAGTGGAAAAAACAAACCTATTCAATTTAAATTGTTTTTACTAATTCATTTGTAGCTGCCTATTGGCAAAATAATTTAGAGCTCATCAAGATCAATGGTCCTGAATATAAATAATCAGAATTCAAAACTGCCTCATGATTCTATTGTGGGCCAAGTAAAAAAAACTACCTAAAAGTATTTCACGAATGGTTGGATAAAGGAACAAACAGAAGAGTACATACTTCAAAAAAAAAAATTTATTTCCTCATTTCTCAATTTGGTATCAGACCTCTATTTTTAAGCAGACTGCTGTATGACTCAGTCTATTAAGAAGTCTGTATGCTAATTTTAATTTTGCCTCAACATGCTGTCCAATTTTGTAAGAACTAAAAGTGCCAAGCCCCTCTCTCATTCTGATGCACCTTTGCTGTTTCTTGATCTTCTTCGTCTGCTCCTGCATCCATCTCCTCTTCTTCGTCTTGCTCTGTGTCATCAGCTGTGTCTTCTGCTGTGTCTTCAGGCTCTTCTTCTGGTTCTTCTTCCACCTAAGGACAACATCCATGAACCCGAGAATAAATGCCTTGCGTCTTATTTCATTTTGCTCTTTCAAAAGGTTTAAGAGCATAATGGATGTTTAATAAGAGCCAGAGTAAATACTGAGTTAACAGGTCAGCTAATCAAGGGAGGCACACAAAAGGGAAGGGACTTCATGTTAAATGTTTTTATTTTATGAGTGTATTGCCTGCATGTATGTGAGTGCACCCATGTTGTGCAATGCTACAGAGGTCAGAAGAGGGCTTCGGATTCCCCTGGAACTGGAGTTAAGGACGGTTCGTAGCCGCCATGTGGGTAATGGGAATCGAATCTGCGTCCTCTGCATCTTAACCGCTGAGCCATCTCTCCAGCCCCTCGTTAATTTATGTGGTATATGTTATTACAGAAATAATTTATTCTATGTTTGAATCTCTAAGAGTAGAAACTAAGCAAATTTCTTAAAGCAGTATCACTTGTTGAGCATCGTGGTGTAAGCCTTTAATCCCAGTAGAGGTTGTGAGACTGAGGCCAGCCTGCTCTACAGAGCCGGTTTCAGTCCAGCTCAGACTATAGGAAGACATGTCAAACACACAAACAGACACACACCAACAACAAAGCAGTTATACTCAATAATCGGGAGAAGCCAATTATTCTTAAAAAAAACTATGCAGGAGAGGATACAAACCTGTGCTTCAGGGTCAATGTTTAAACTGAGGCGAAGCATTCTTTCTATTCTATCTCCGTATGCTTTGGTGTCTGGTAGAAGATAACCTGACCGAAGAGTTGCTGTTTCAAACAAAACTACAGCAAGATCCAAGACTGTTTTGTCATCTTCATCTTCCTGACAGAGAACATTTGATTTGGATTAGGATTAAAAGTTACAAAGCATTCCAGTTTAGAAAGACCAGCAAGAGTGTGGCTCTATCACTGCTCACCTTAATCCGTCGAAGCATGTCTTTGATCAGTGGGTGTCTGGGATTAATTTCAAATGTTTTCTTCTGACTGGCATAGTAACTGTTAAGGGACGCAGTAAGCATTAATATCCATGACTTTTGGGTCCATACATATTTTAGCTTTAATTAGAGAAAAACTCTTAGAAAAATTATTCCTTCTATTGCTTCCTTTAAAAGGAGTGCCCATGTTTAGGTAAAGTAATGAAATAACGCAACTCTTTAATGATGAGTCCCAGGTAATCACAGTACTGCTGCATGGATGAACTGGTTCATGTCTTTATGTCTTGCTTGTTCCCATAGTTTAATACCTTAACTGTAGCCCTGAGTCACCAAAGTTATGGGTGCTGCTCAAGTAAAACCTTCTCCATGATGCCCTCACTAGTGTGGTTCCCAAAAAAATTCCTTTCTTCTTCCATCTGAACTCAGACTGCAGTGTGTTCTGAGCATCTCCACAGTCATTAACATTTTACTGGTGGTTGTGACTATTATCCTTCCTATAGCTTCAAGGTTAGAGGACAGAGAGAAGCCATCTACCCCTATCACCCAATAACTTGTAGGGTATATAACTTCATTTGTCATCCTGACAATCTGATCATCATAAAGACAGGAGCTACATTTACTTTTGACCATGTATAGTCATAATACAAATATAGATATTATTCTTATAACCTAATGCAAAATAACAGTAGCAAATGCAGAAAATTTTTATTTGTATACAAATATTATAAAACAATAAGGTCACAGAAGACAACTTCTTTAGCAACCTAAATGTGCACAAGCTATCTACCCACACAATGGTGTGCACTTCAGATACTTGTCTCTATAGACCAGGCATTATCTCATCTCCTAAAATGAAGGCAGGATGGACAAGAGCTGGAACCTTGGCAGGGACTTCCCCAGCTACTTACTTTGTAGAGATGTCCTTGCCCGTTTGGTATGCTTGTGCCTTCATGATCCTCTCCATGTTGCCACTCCATCCGTACTGGCTGGCCACAAGAGCACAGGGAGACTCTGTAAGGCGCTGTGACACCACAGCCTTTTCAATCTTAGAATGAGAAACATTAGAGACAAATGAGTATCAATAGGTCATTCACCCTTTAAGAGAGGCAGGTCAAAAAGCAGCTTCATCCAGGTTCAGGAATTCTTAAGTGACACTCATTTAATCTGATTTTTTTCCCCTACAATTAAAGACTTGACTTAATAAAAAACAAACAAAACAAACACCTAACTTAAACTTAGCCTGTAAACATTATTACAGAAACAGTACTTTACAGAAAACTTCCGTTTTAAACATGCCCTACCCCATATTTAATCATATTTATCTTATTCTTTATCATTTTTCTTTTGAAATTTTATGTTCTTAGCAGTTAAGCCCTCCGCCCCCAGTGGTACAGGGGATCAAACCCAAGTCTTATGTATAGTAGACAAATGGCCTATCACTGAGCTACATCCTCAATCCTTTGAGATGGCTTCTCACTTTACTGACCAAGCTGACCATGAACTTCAATCCTCATCTTAGCTTCCATGTCACTTTTTATAAGAATTTCTTAGTGGTTACCAGGTATAGGTTAGTTTGCAGACAACTTCTTTTTACTCCAACCCCTCAGAATACCTTGTCCTTAAGAGCTTTATCTTTCATCCAATTGAGCAGAGGCTCAAATTCCTTCTCAGTTGCTTCACGACTTTCCTTAGTTTTCTCACTTTCATCAAACTTCACTCCTTCCTTGGCAACATTCTGGAACCTCTTCCCATCAAACTCGGGAAGGGCCTGAATGCAGTATTCATCCACAGGTTCTGTTAGGTAAATAACTTCATAGCCCTTTTTCAGAAGTCGCTCAACAAATGGAGACGATTCGGCCTACAAAATTAAACGAAGTAAAGCCTAATTGTTTATGTATTAGCCGCATCTTCACAGTATAACAACCCCATCTGAAACATGAGGACTTGATGTTAACAGTCCTGTGAATGACTGGCCAGTTCTCATAACTACTCCAGCTATGCAATGTCTTTTCTCTCAAGCACTGGCTGCACATATATCCCCAGCTAACTACAAGGAGCTGTGACAGCGGGACTTTGTCTCACCTCTTTTCTGCTGGACCCTGCCATGAAGTAGATTTTGTCCTGCTTTTCCTTCATTCTTTCCACATACTGATCTAAACTAGTAATGTCAGTTGGATGATGAGAAGACTGGAACCTAAGAAGTTTAGCAAGCCGAGTTCTGTTTGAGTGGTCTTCAATTACACCAAGCTTGATGTTGGTGCCAAATTCTTTCCAGAAAGTATCATTGTACTTTTCATCAGCGATCTTCTTGATCATGTCTAGGGTTTTACGGACGAGCTTCTTCCTAATCACCTAAGAAAATGGAAGACTGGTTAGAAAAGTTCATCTCAAACCTTTGCAAATGTAAGGAACCAGGGAAACAGTGACTGAGGTACCGGGACAGGGATGTGTGTCACTGCAACTGAACAAGCACAGGGAATGAGCGGGACACTCATATCAGATGGTGCTGAAATTATGCTGTCAGCAGAAATAACCACAAGAGTGCTTTTAATGTTAAGATACTGTCAGGAAAAGAAGAAAGTTCTTTTTTTTGAGACAGGGTTTTATATAAATCAAGGTGACTTGAAACTTATGCTATCAAGCCTTGGCTGACCTTGAACTCATGATCTTCCTCCTGCTTCTTCCCTCAAAGGTTCTACAGGCATGCACCACCATGGCTGGCTCAAAGTTCTTTTGAATAGTTAACGACTAGTCTAGCCTCAAAATCTAGTTGCTTTTATAACAAGAGTCCATCCTCTGATTCCAACTGAAAGGTGGTGGGGATCCTGTCCAGAAACCCTTACCTTAAGCAATTTATGTTGCTGGAGAGTCTCACGGGAAACATTCAGGGGGAGATCATCCGAGTCAACCTGCAGATGACAAAATTTTCAATAAGCAATAGAAACACTGGGAAAAACCAAGTCCAAACCAAAAACCCCACAAGCCCTCCAACTCTAATGCCCATTCCTCCAATCTTTAGATACTTACAACACCCTTGACAAAATTAAGGTATTTGGGCATCATATCATGGAAGTCGTCTGTGATGAATACTCGGCGCACATACAGCTAAAGAGAATCAAAACAAGAGTCACTGTCTAGATATCACACACACTTTGAATTTTAAACTCAAGTTTATACTACTTAAAAACTCACCTTAATATAATCACTTTTCTTAGATCCATATTCATCAAATAGTCCACGAGGAGCAGATGTGGGTACAAATAAAATTGATTTGAAGGTAACTTCTCCTTCAGCAGTGAAGTGAATATAGGCCATGGGGTCATCACTTTCCTGTGGAAAGTAAGTTACTCAAAAGGCACAGGAAAAAGCAGAAAGGCACTTACACGTATTTAACAAGAACAGTACTTTACAGAAGTAAAAGAAAAAAGGTTAGAAGTGGTATGGAGAAGAAATGACTAACTCTTGACTATAAAAAACTCAAGAACAGATGTCTTTAATGGAATTTAGCTTCCGGTAGTAGATACAAAGAGGTATGCACCACATGTAATGTCAGAAATCCTCTGATCTGCTTTATGCTCAGTGTACCCACATGCAGCTATGGAGCAGTTGAAGGTTGGTAGTCTGGAGAGACGCTATTCCATGTTAGACACATTTTGAAGAAACAGTATGAATTAAATTCAAAAATGTTTTTGCATGTCTCATGACTAAAAAAATTGTTCACATGTTAAAACTGCTATTCTGGGTATATTTGGCTAAATAAAGTAAATCTTAAATGGCTGATATATCATCTGTCCTAATGTTCTCTATATAGCTTAAATTTTTTAAAATTATATTAAGTGACTCAAATTTTATTTCTGCCCAAGTTTGCTCATCTAAACCAAGATTTCAAGGACATGGAAATAATAGCCAGGTGTGGTGGCAGAAACCTTTAATCCCAGCACTTGGGAGGCAGAGGCAGAGGCAGAGGTAGAATCTCTGTGAGTTCCAGGCCAACTGGGGCTACAAGGAGACCCTATCAAAAAAAAAGTACATGGAAATAAAATCCAAAGCAAAGTTTCAAGTGTTGAAACTTACAGGCTACAGAATAAAGTAATACACCTATAGACTATTTAGTGAAAACAGTAACTTCAAATGACTTTTAATACTAGTTTTGTATTCTTTAAGACTTAAAAAATTAGGGATTAGCAAAAAAAAAAAAAAAAAAAAAAAGGAAAAAAAAAAAAACCCCCCAACCAGATAAAAAAAGATTTAGTAATTTTCTCTAAAAAATTTTTTTTATTTTATGTGATTGAGTGCATTGCCTTCTTGTATGAAGTGTACCCGTGTTGTGCAGTGCCTGAGGTCAGAAGGTGTCGGATCCTCTGGAACGGGAGTCACAGGCAGTTGTAGCTGCAATGTGAGTGCTGGAGACTGAACCCAAGTCCTCTTCTAGATCAGTCAGTGCTTTTAACTGCTGAGCCAGTTAGTAATTATTCTTTAAAGTTTATTGTGTGTATGACTGTTTTGCTTACATATATGTAAATACACCCATGTGGTGCATAGCCTGTAGAGGTCAGAAGGGCACTGAAGCCCCTGGAACTGCACTTACAGAACAGAGGGTTGTTAACGATCATGTGGGAGCTGGGAACTTACAGAGGAGCAGGTCCTCTGTAAGAAAAGCAAGTGCTCTTAACCACCGAGCCATCTTTCAAGCCCTATTTTGTTTTTTTTGAGATAGGGTCTCCTTGTAGTCCCAGCTGGCCTTGATCTGACAAAAATATGCCTGCCTCTGCCTCTGCCTCTGAGTACTGAGATTAAAGGCATGCACCACCATGCCCAACTTTAGTAATTATTCTAAAATATGACTCCCATGTTTGATATAAGTGAGCTCTTTCAAGATCACATTAAAAACCATTCATTCATTTACACAGTTAATACTTCTGTTCTTTGACAACCTAGGGAAAGCTATATTGAATCCTCATAATTCAAAAAATTTTTAAAAAATATATAGGATTAAAATGAACAGTTTAGTCACATTTGTAAGACTTCTGGATTTTGTACTTGAAATGCTTTACTATCAAAAATGCTGTGTCCTGAAACTGAATTACTATTCTCAAAGACTGTTTCTAGGGAGATACCAATCTCAAAGGTGAAATGTGAATGTGATTTTGCAGTAAAATGAATTTCAAATTGATTCATGACTAAATCTATACTCCTAGAAGTACACATATGGTAAATAAGATCACTTCTGGATTTTGTACTTGAAATGCTTTACTATCAAAAATGCTGTGTCCTGAAACTGAATTACTATTCTCAAAGACTGTTTCTAGGGAGATACCAATCTCAAAGGTGAAATGTGAATGTGATTTTGCAGTAAAATGAATTTCAAATTGATTCATGACTAAATCTATACTCCTAGAAGTACACATATGGTAAATAAGATCTTTGAATCTTATCTTATTGGAAAAACTGGGGATGGACAATCTCATTCATGGTCTTATACCATGTTTAAGTATTTAATACCACACTTAAACTAATAGGGTGAGAAATTTTACGTACTTGTTAATGACTTAGAGCTAGAAAATTCTAACAAAGAACTTACCTTCGAAAATGATTTGTAGAAAGCTTTGTATTCATCTTCTTCTACTTCTTTTGATGGTCTTTGCCATATTGGTTTGATATCATTCATAAGTTCCCAATCCCACACAGTTTTTTCAACCTAAAGTTAAAATACTTGGTTAGTCTTTCCTATCACTTAAAAGCTAACCTAGAGGTAATCATAACTTCTGTTATCTAATATAGGTGCTAATCACTAGATCAAATATTTTAAAGTAAGGGTTTGTTTTGTTTCTGGAGACAAGGTCTAACTACATAGCTCAAACTAGCCTCAAACCTTGAACCATCTGCCTCAGCCTCTCAAGTACTGGGATTAGAGGCATGAGTCTCTAGACTGCTAAAAGTAATCACTGTCTCTTAACATTTATAGCCAACATTTAATTAAAAAAGAATAGTAGTGTTGGGATGGTGGCGCACACCTCTGATCCCAGCACCCGGGAGGCAGAGGCAGACAGATCTAAGGCTGAGGCCAGCCTAGTCTTTGAGTTCCAGGCCAGCTGGGGCTGCAGGGAGGACACTGTCTTAAGAAGAACCCCCACCCCCAAACAATTCTCAGCAATATTTCTACTTTACCTCTTATCTGAGTAAGGCACAGAAATATTTCTATAGTTAATTCCAACATGCTAAGGAAGATACATAAAACTTTTAGGATTTTAAAATTCAAAATATATAAGCCAGTCAGAAAGCTCTTTATATAGAGGCCTCTGTTCACTACTTAATGTTCTAGAGGACAACATACACAGCACACAAAGTTAAGTCTTGTTTTAAACAAGGGGGCCACTTGTAAAACCAGAACTTTAAGAACTAAGAATCAAGCTCCTCTCAAGAATGCACATGTGGCTGGTGCTGTTCCCCACAGATCCTCAACAGTAGTTTAAGTAGGGGAGTCAGCTTACCTTTTTAGTCTTTGGTTTCTTTTCTTCCTCCTCCTCCTCTACGGCAGCTTCATCATCAGATTCTTCTTTCTCTTCTTTCGTTGCTTCTTCTTCATCCATGGGTTCCTCAACAGTCTCAGTCTGTTCAAGTTTCACAAGGTACAATTACTGTTAAGTTCATTTGTTTGGTAATTCTGATTCCTCTTAGCACTAAGCATTTCAATATACGCTAAGGTAATACATACATTTTATCATTGCAGATTTACCTTGCTACTCCATACATAAATAGGAAAGTTGATGAACTGAGAATACTTTTTGACGAGATTTTTAATTGTATCCAATTCAAGGTAATCAGATGCTTCTTCTTTTAAGACAAGGCTGCAAGGAAGGAAAATAAGCCATTTATAGACTCACTCAGCTTTTAGATTTGATTATAAATTTAAGTACCTTGGTAATAACAGCCAGCAGTTCTATACAATGCTTGACGTTCATACTAAGAACTCCTTCTCCTCCACTAGGAGGCCGGGAGCTAAATACACAACAAACGGGATGGGAAAGACTTCCTGAGCTCTTTAAGGTAGAGAATATTCTTAGTTTTAAGTAGAAAACAAAAATATTTCTAATCTTCCTAGCATGTTAGATAGCTTTCATTTCTCAAGGTGAGAAAGCACACTGAAAATATTCCGGAGAAAAATGGGATCTCTGCACTTTCACTGATTACACTGTCATTCTAGAAATCAAACAATTTTTTAGTACTCCTAAATATATTCTTAAAAATAAAGAAAAACAGAAAAACCATCAAGAAAATTACCCTGAAGCCACCAGTCTTACCTATCTAAATCAAATGTCAAGTTCAAGGGTGATATTTCATTTGGTAAAGCAACAAGCACAAGGACCCGATGGATCAGCATCCGCATAAAAATAAAAACCTGGGCATGGTGGTGGTGTGCTTGTTATCCCAGTGCTGGGGGAGGCAGAGACGGGGATCTCTGGTACCTGCTGGCCAGCCAGACTAACCTAATCTTCAAGTCCACATGAGACCCCTGGTCTCAACACAAGGTGGAAAGCTCCTGAGGTCTGAGGCAAAAGGTTGTTTTCTGGCTTCTACCCACAAACATACAGCCTGAAAAGAAGAAGTTGAATTCTGCAGCTGCATGTCACCCCTGAGTACTCAATAGACACATGTGATTGGCGGCTGCCATTCTGACAGTACATATAGAGACAGAACATTTTCACATTGTAAAAGCTCTACTGTAGGCCGTGTAGTTTGGCGGTGCTCGTGTTTCCCCTTCTGCAAATCTCTTTTCTATCTACCAAAAATGACAAGTCACAACACAGTTCCCAAACACAGGAGGTAGCATGTACCTTAATATTTGTGCTTGCAAAGAAGAAAATGTTTATAGTTTAGAAGCACCTGTTACAAATAGGAAATGGAACAGGCTTTCAAGTTAAGTCTGACTTAGTGGTATGGGGTGGATGGAGAGCTGTGGATACAACTGGAAGCTGCTGATTAGGTGACTTAGAGGTACATAAAAGGCAATCGGGGTGGGCTGACAAGATGGCTCAGCAGGTAAAGGCTCTTGCTGCCATGCCTGAAAACCGGGTTTGATTCCTGGGACTCTCAGAGTGGAGGAGAGAACTGATTCCTGCAAGTTGTCCTCCACATGCCCTCCCCTAATAAATAAATGCAATTAAAAAAAGCCATCAGACACATGAGCACATAACCTAGTGGTAAGATATAGATGCAGTTTGGGAAGCAGCTGGCATCCATACAATTTTTTATTGGGACATATCCTCATTTACTGTCTTGGCTGCTTTCAGACATGTGACAGACCGTATATTCCATAAGCTGGTCCTTTAAAAATGTTTGCTGGGGCTGGAGAGATAGCTCAGCCATTAAGAGCACTTTCTGCTCTTCCAGAGGACCTACGTTCAGTTCCCAGCACCCACATGAAGGCTCACAACTGCATGCACATACATGGTGCACATACACACACAGTCATACACATATGCATAAAAAGTAAATTTGAGCCAGGGGTGGTGGTGCATGCCTTTAATCCCAGCACTTGGGAGGCAGGCGGATCTCTGTGAGTTCAAGGCCAGCCTGGTCTACATAGTGAGTTCCAGGACAGCTGGGGCTACAGGGAGACCCTGTCTCAAAAAAGATGCCCCTCCCGCCCAAA